GCCACCTACCTCTCTCGGGGCCGCCTTTCTAGCCTTGGTTTATCATCCTCCAGTTGACGCTGCAGCTTCTCCTGCTCCTTCTGTAGCCGCTCTTCCACTTCCCGCTCCCTTGCGGCTGTATCCACAGGCTTGGCACCCCCAAAGATAGAGGCTGCGCGGCTGGACTGAGTGGCAGGGGCCACCGAGGAGTCTTCCTCCTTGGGGGCGCTGCGCGGTTTCAGGTTCAGTTTTGGCCTCTGAGTGGGACCTACATTGGATGAAGTGGACAGCGACTGAGGGCAAACGCCATGGGATCTGCTCAGAACAGGACCCCAGGAAGACCCAGCTGGGAGGAGAGAGGAGCACTAGGTGCACTGGCTACCAACCCTCCAAGCTCAGCTTCCTTCCAGCTGTTGAGCCCACCCCCCGAGAACAAGCAGAGCCTTTACCTCTATCATCGCGACGAACTTCATCCCGGGCGTAGTCATCCCGGGAGCTCCACCTGTCCACCCTGTCGTCCCTCCTTTCATAGCGATCTTCGTAACGGTCACCTCCTCCTCTGAAGTCATCGTCCCGACGGTACCCAGTGCCAAAGGCTCTCCGGCCGCTGCCCACCCTGGAATCGTAGCCTACAGGAGGAGGAGAGGGAAAGCAGCACTGGTTACTCTTGAGCAATGGGGCATTATACCAGAGGATGGTTGATGAAGTGCAGGAGAGGGAGGCCCCTCTAAGTTTACGCAACATTCCCCAAACAGGAAGGCAAGAACAGGGCAATGGTGACCTGTACATGCGGCAGCCAACCCAACCTCTCTGGATCTGCTCAGCCAGTGGGCACTATGAAACGTAAGTATCAGGGCAGGTCGGTGCACATCATCTAGCATCAAGAGGATTAAGTGGACTGCAGCTCAGAGGCATACAATGAATGGCCTACTTCCACCCCCCACTTCTAGAATGGGGAATAACAATAGACCTGGGAGCTGCACAACTGAAGTGGTTTGTCAATGGTTAGTGCAAGCTCTGGACAGAAAGACTCCAATTGACGTGCAGTTTGATACCCTGATCCATCAGATCATAGGAAAGCATCTGAAGCCAAACTACCTCCTCTATCGTAGTCTCTACTACGGTCATCATAACGATCTCGACCCCCAAAGCGATCCATATCCCGGCGAGGGCCATCGCGATACCGGTCCGAATCGTTGTAACGATCGCGGTCCCGATACCCTATAGAGAGAAAGGAAGGTTACAGTACAAGGCAGGCAGTATTGAAGGACTACGCACTATTCCCAAAACACTGTGGCTTAGTCTACACTACAAAGTTAGGCTGATGTAAGGCAGTTTACATTGACCTAATGTTGCCCCCTGCCGATGCATGTCACCCACCACACCGATTTAATTCCACGTCCGCGAAAGGCGTTAACGCTTAAGCCAATGTAGTTAGGTCAACGCGGTGTCCATGTAGATAAATGTGTTGTTTACATCACCTGTTGCCGCCCGGGACAGCCGGAGCCCAAGCCCAGGGCTGACAGCTGATGAAGGACTGAGGGGGTTGGGGAGAGGAGAGCCAGAGCTGTGGTCACCTCCTGGTAAGGGGATGTGGGGAGGATGCAGCAGGGCTCCAGCTGTCAGCCTCAGGGGGGCAGGATTCCAGCTGTCAGCGCCCCACAATGTCAGTTAAATTGGTGCAAGTGCATCTGGTGAGAACGTGCACTGCCGACGGAAGGAGCAACAGTGTGGACATTAAAAACTGAATTAGACTACTGCGGTGGCTGTATGTTGTCTTAATTTTGTAGTGTAGACACGCCCTAAATTGACACACCGTCCCAAGGAGCTCAGTTGGCAAAGACTATACACGGTTCAATTCATTCCTCCCACCTTTGATCACTTGTTGAATCACGTATTTCAGCAGACTGTCTACGGCACTTGCCCAATGGTACTGAAATGTCACGTACATTACCCTCAACGCCCCGGTACAGCAGGGAAGCATTATTACTCATTCTGCAGATGGGAAACAGAGGCACCAAGACGAACTTGCCCAGGGTCATAACACAAACCTGTTGCAGAGCTGAGAGCAGGCCTCAGATCTCCTGGTCCCAGTCAAACACCTGAGCCTACCTACATAGAATGTGTCTGGCCTCCACCCAGTAACTGAATTGGTCACCAAGTGCAGAGCGGAAAAGAAGCACGCTAGGATACCACGGTGATGCAGTTTTCCAGCAGACACCATCCGAAAAGGAAGGATATCGCTGCAGTATGAGGGGGACACAGGATCGGACTCCTCAAATCTGGGGATCTGCAGATCCACCTTCGGAAACCAATAAATTGCCACCCTCAGCAAATCCCAGAAGAAACCCAAGAGGAGGTGTGGAACTAACATTTCACAGGTAGTGTTTAGATACTATGATGGGCATAGAGGGAGGGTTCTCAGCCAACTCACGGTCTCCAAAGCTATCCTCGCTCCTGCGTGGAGGGTAATCATCAAAGCTATCAGTAGCAGGACGAGCCCTCCAGTCAGTCTCAAATCTCTCCGAGTCCCGGTTGCGATCACGATCTCTGCCAAAGGAGCGATCATCCCTGTCTGCAGGAGGAAGGGAACTAGACAGTCAAGTCAGGCCTGCAAGGTCAAGTCTTCAAATGCCCAAGGGCTGAGCACCAAAGAGGAAATCCATGGATTTGAAATGCACTGAGACTAATACGACATCTCTGCGTTCGGCATGTTGCCTTGCAGTTAATACATCAATGGCAACACGCACCTCTGACTGATGCTTTAGAAGGATGACAGCCCCAGCCAGATTCAAGGACAGTACGTGGGCGGTGGGGCAGAGGAGGGTTGCCCTAATGTTCAGAGGCTGCTGGCTACAGATCTGCAACATTCCAGCTACCCCTTTAGCAAAGCGTGCAGATGTGCAGAAGCCTGGCCCCTGCAGTGGGTCTGAGAACAGCACACACGAACAAGAAGGACTTGTATGCTGCCTTTGAACTATTTAGGTCAGAGGGAGGTAAGGCTGCCAGCCTGCTCTTCAGGAGCTCCAGTCCTAAGGCAGATTCAGTCATGAGGACAGTTGCCTTGCGGTGTGGGGCCTAATTTGTCAGCATTCAGTTTATCTGATCAGAGAAGAAAATTGCTACCTATTCCAGGCAGTTCTCACCTTTATCCTGAGCTTGATCAGCAACATCCACTCGTATCCTTCTGTTCCCTAAAGACTGAACACACAATACCAGATTCATTAGCCTTTCAGCCGGAGGATGTGGGGGTGCCTAAACAGTTTGTTCTAGGGAGATCTTTGAACACTGAGGCACAGTGTCCATTAACCGGGCCCCAAAACACCCTGTGAAGCCACCTGGGGTCTGGAAGCAAGAATTTTGGGAATTGCTTTGATCCCATTTCTTTGCAGGTTTCAACTCACCTCTTCATTGAGGCTCAGAGCCCGGAGCAAGGAGTCCAGGTCTTCAAACTCGGCATAACCAAAACCTTTCAACCTCTCCGGGTTAGTAGGTTCCCGGGGCAAACGCACAGCACTTATCTGCAGTCAATTGGGAACAGAAAGGAAGATTCTCATTAGAAGGGTCAGGATCCCTTGATGAGCGATGTAGAGGAAGATTGAATAGGACTGGGTTTAACTACACATTCATCTGGCAGTTCAAATCCATTGGAGAAGGCATGTGGTCTCCAAATATGAGATATTGAGTTATCCAAAGTCATGTGACTCAAATAAGATTTATGAATTAAGCAAGCCAGACAGCATAGTTTGCTTGCAGGCAAATAAAAGGATTAGTATATCAGAAACACATGGACCTGGTTCCTGTTTAAAGTGCTATTGTCTAAGAACCCAGATAGTAGTTTGGAATGAAGAATTTGGCACTGGTAAATGGTGTCCGACTGTCAGCCCTGGAGACTGAAGGTCTTTATCCACAGAACAGGGGAAACACAGGCAGTGGCAGAGCAAGCTTTCTTGGCGTTCCTGGTGAAAACAAGGTCTGCGAGTCTTTCAATCTTTAACCTCTGCTGAGAACTACCAGCAGCAGAGACAACTGCTGCCCCTTCCTCCCCATTTCGCATAGGTCAAAGAAGAGCACTGAGCAGAATTGACCTAGGCTGGGGTTAGAACTGGCAGCACAGGTCAGAACGCTTCACACTTACACAATCTGCAAAAGGATCTTTGCCCATCATTATATATGGGCTCTCCCCACCCTGCAATGAATGCGCCCTATGAACCCCACCCATTTCCACAGCTTACTTAATATTACCAGATAAGATCCTCATCTAAGGCCAATTTCTGACCTGCTTCAATGGAAAGACCCTTCAAGCTAGATTATGGAAAACAGGGACAGCAGTTTTATTGCCAGCTGCACAATTAACTACAGATGACATCCCACTGCCAGGAAGTGCAGCTAACACAACGCTTACTATTAGGTTTGGGATGCAGAACTTAAACTAATATCACCGCTTACAGCACAGTTTGCTTCAAGTAGTAAATGTCACTTCAAAGGCTAAACCAAATTCTATCACATTAATGATTTCCACTTGATTAACCACTTCATCAGCACAGTTGCTCCCAGTTGTGCTTCCTGCTTAGAGAGAAACAGCACACAACTCAAAGCCACAGGGTATTATCACAGTGGTTTGTGGAGGTTACACTCAAACAAGGAGCTCAAATTGTATTCAGATAAGCCACAGGCTTGATAAAGAATTACAGAAGCTGTTGGGCAGTGGTTAAGAGTGAATGATACGGGCAGCTCAGCAAGCGAGGAAGGAAAAATTCTCACGATGGTCATTAAACTGACATCCCATATTTATTACATGCACACACACACACCCCATTAATATTTCCCTATCGAATTTGCTCAGTTTGACTCAGTCAGAACAAGAGGTTTTTGCTGCTGGAAGAAAAAACATCACCTTGCCAGCTAGGGCGGCTCAGTGTTGTCCTTCGGAAGCATGGACCACCGCCACCAAAAGTACCTAGTCATTTGCTAATGCACCTAGGGTGTAAGTAGAGGATGGGGGCAAGTATTGGATGATTATAAGCAATAGAATGCCACAGAGATTGGTTGGCAGGAAATTAACAAGGCAGTCCCTTACTCTGAGGAGTAAAGATACCAATGAGTTCACCAACTGGTTACGTAAGGCTGTCACCTGTACCGCTATAGCTGTGCTGCTGTGTAAGGTCTCCCATGTAGACATTTTGCTGGCAGGAGAGAGCTCTCCGGCTGGCATAAACAAACCACCCCCAACAAGCGGCATTAGCTATGTCGGCAGGACAGCGTCTCCTGCCGACACAGCGCTGTCCACATCATCACTTTTGCCGATTAAACTTATGTCAACTGACACGTTTTACTGACAAAAGTGGTAGTGCAGACAAAGCCCGATACAGTACATCGGTCACCTCTCAGAGGTACATTCACCATTGCCAGCCACCTAAAGCTCCCGTGGCCTCTATAGATGGCGACACTGAAGCACAGCAAAGTCCTTCCCAAGACTGCCCAGCAAGACAGTGGCAGAACTGGGCCTGGGACTCCTGGGTTCTACTCCCAGCTCTGCCTCAGATTAAGCCCCCATCCACTCTTAGCCACTTACTAGACCTCATCTCTTCCTTATTCTTCCCATTTATTTTTCAGCTATGTGGAACTTGAGCATATGAGATGAGAAATGGCTTCTTCTCTGCATGCTAAGTATTCTAGGTCTTCGGCACAGCCCTAGGCTGCTATATGCAGCAAGTGCTATGAAGTCTATTGCAACGGCCAGGACACTGATGGACCCCCTGTTGTACTGTCATAGGCACCTTGCTCATGCAATGCCCTATCCTGCTCCCTCTGCTGAACAGGCTGGAGAGCAACTTCGACTAGGGAGTGGAAGAGATCCCATCCCCAGGGCTGCCTAACCCTCAGCTGTTATCACTCGGGCTCCCATCCAACTCATGGCTTGCTGCAGGAGTTTCACCCATCCTATTACTTCCAAGAAGGAGGGGATGCTGCATCAGTAGGCAGAACAAATGAGTTATAGATGCAAGCTGAAACGGACAAGAAATGCAAGCAATGTCATTTTGACCATAACAATCTGCTGTGAGCAGCGGAGCTCATCATCACGTGGGCAACATTCAGTTTAACGCCCAATGGGACATCAAGTAATATTTTACATTGACCTTCAGCACCACTGTGATGCGTTATTTCAGGAAGGGGAAAGAATTTCCTACCTGTAATTCTCTCCCCTCCACCACCACTCCCCTCTATTCCAGGCCTTCCAAAAGAAGACAGTTTGAGCCTCCTGCTTGATTAGGACTGAATTAATAGTTCATAGCTTTAAAGAGGAGTGCAGATTGCTATCTCCTTCCTCAGTCAAGTTGCAACCCAGTCTAGCAAGTGCCACAGGTGAAACCCAGAAGAAACTCTCCTTCAGGCTGAACCTGTGGGACCCCGTCTGGCCTCTGGCTGTTCAGACTTTATGGGCATCTGAAGACTGGATTCCCAGAGTCCCACAGACCTTATGTAGTCCTGCTGGCAGCTAAGGGTTCATAGAGGAAGACAAACCCAAATTTGTACCCTAATGCCAAGGAGAAGATCCTCAGAAAGAGACTGACACAAACAGTTTCTGCCTTTGCTACCAGAACCAGGAGCTGCTTCCTTTATGTAGACAAGCTTGCTAAATCAACCACAGAAGCAGAAATCTCCTTGCTTGGTCTACAGACAGGAGGGGGACAGACTATCCATGGTGCACAAGATAAAAGGCTTTCAAGAGTGGCTCTCCTGCTCAGTGGCCCTTGTTATGGAGAAGCCTGGGGCTCAGGCAACAAACCTTCTAAAAGATACTTGTCTTGTTAGAAGTCAACTTGTTCTTCTAGCTTCCGCGAGCGGCCTCAGCGGCTCTTAGCAGCGAATGGCTTGCAATGAATGCTTTTATGCTCTTGGGTGGGCCCCAGAAGACAATACTGTTATGGGTATGTCTATGCACTGGGGTGCAATTCCCAGCTCAGGGAGACATACCCACCTTAGCTCTGATCAAGTTAGTGTGCTAAAAATAGCCGTCTAGCTGCAGCAGTGGAAGGGGCTAGCCGCCCCGAGTTCAGAGTCTGATAGAAAGCACATACTTGGGGTGGCTAGCTCCTCCCGTTGCATACATCTCCACTCTTTTTTAGCATGCTAGCTCAATCATGGGTGTATCTCCTTGAGCTGGAACTTATATCCCAGCTTGACGTGTAGACACAGCCTCAGAATGTAACAGGACTGAGTGCCAAGGGCACAAACCATGCAGAAGTGGGATCCATACAGGCAATTCTGCCAGGAAAATTCTGGGCTTTACTCCTAACTCCATTCACTGTTTGGGTGATGTTGGACAAGTCATTTCAGTCTGTAGAACTGGTATAATATCACGAGCCTCTCCAGGGTGCTGAGAGCTCAATAGATTAGAGCATTCCACAAGCCATAAATTACATCTCACCTGCCTTCTGCTGCCACATGGCCCCTGTATGTGTCTCACAAACTTTAAATTCTGCATAACAGATACTCACGTTGAGTCCTCTGAAGAAGTCCTTGATGGACTCTTCTGACACATCATAGGGCAAGTTTCCCAGAAAGGCAGTGTACGGGGGCGACTTTGGGAGACGGCTTCTGTCTATATTGGGTTCCCGAGCAGCCCGAGGTGCGGTGGGCAGGATGGACCGGTCAATTGGTGCGGCTCGGTACATATCATCATCATTACTATGCCAAGTGGTGGAAACTAGAAGAGAAATTTTGCACATGGTCAAGACATACTGAGCTAGACCCCCAGAGAGTTTATAGATGTTGATGCCTCTCAGATCCCCTCTTCATTGGGATTGTTTGAATTTACTTGCAGCCCCCTCAGCTGTAAAATAAAGGTATTAAAGATGGTCAAGAAAAATGTTCAGCAATATTATAAACAATCCCACAATTAAATTAAACTGTGTCACATATTTTAGGACACCTTTCCCCCAACATATCATAGCACATATGCTGCACAAAAACATGAGATCCAGCTAATGAACAAAACTGGATGAAGAAAAAAACCCAAGAGTCCAAGCTGGTGATAAAATGGGGACAAAATGGTCAAATACAGCAGACAGAAAAGTTTTCAGTGAGCTCTGAGTACAGCCAGTAAGGGACAGAGTCAGGGAATGAGCTACCTAGATGGAATCCCTGAATCAGGACATCTCTGCTGTGAGCCCCAGACCAAGCCTCAGATAAAGAAGAGAGCTCAGCTGGTCTCTCAAAGGAGTTAGGTGTTACTTGTAGTGCCAAATACTAAGTGTCACTGAAAATTTTCGTTCTTTCCCCGTTGATGTATAAGACTCTCACAAATGCAGGGAAACTATATACAGAATGTGACAGTGAAACTGACCAAAGTGCTGTCAAGTGCATCGTGAACAAGCTAAAAAAAAAAATTAAGGCACTTTTCCTGTAATCTTTTAGCTTCAAGATGTATTAACATCAGTAGGTTTCACTGACACACAAGCTATTCAGGGACAGTACCTAAAGACAGAACGCTAATAGTACGGAAACTTGGGAACGAACGTACCATCTCCTTCCAGGTCATCTGTTTCATCGGCCCAGCTGACTGGTTTTGGAATAAAGGTGGTTCCACCGCCACCACCGCTGCCACCATCCTCTGCCAGAAAGTCCGTCAGAGTAAGGGTTTTCCCCTTCTTGTTCTTCTTCTTAGCTGTTAAAGGGGAGAAGGGGACAGATGTGAGTAACATCTGGGCACAATTCATTCCATTAAACAAGACAGGGAATGGAGGAGTTACCGCCCATCACGATGCCTACGGAGGCAAGGATCCTACATGCTCGGGAAGAGCAGGCAAAAGTAACGTATCACCTCTAGGCCAAACCTCACCAGCACAAAACCACACCCCACCATTCCCCCAGACTGGGAGAACAAAAGTTTGTTATATAGCATTAGACTGCCAGATTAGTCTATGGAGTTGAAAGACTTTTTATTCATGGGTCTCCACCATAACTTTTGTTGGGCATTTGACTCCTGCTATTTTAATCGGCATCTCTATGAACTGACACCAGAGGAATTTTCACTAGCACTTAGCATCTCTGGCTGTGGCTTGTGGCCTAAGGATTCAGGCCTATATTCAGTGAGAATGGGACAGAAAAAAGACCCGTTTTGCTGTTCTCTTCAGGACCCTTCGGATAGATTGGATTTAAATTAAAAATCTCACTTTGAACCTTCCCCACTTTTTTCCTAGCCCTTGTTAGTTCAGATGGACCTCTCTACTTTCATTCCTTTGTCCCAGAGCATCCCTTCGCTACATGAATTACAGCGACACCCACAACCTCTACTTAGAATGGACAATTATTCGAAGGCCTCTGTGACCCTCCTGTGAAAAGGCTACAGCCCCACCCATTCTACTTGTGCTGGGAGTTCCTGGCTTCTAAGTGAGTAATATACTATTGCCAACAAGGTGGCTGAAATGCTATTGAGAGAGAAGCATGCAGGTCACCTGAACTATGAGAGCGACTGGACGCTCTGGTAGGACTGTATCCCATTTGAACCCTTTCACGGTCTATTTTACGGAGGAAGGATGGTCTAATGGTCAGTGCTAACCAATTCCCTGATCTGCGACAGGCTTCACATGACAAGTTACTGAGGTCTGGTCTACACAAAAATTAGATTGACCTAGCTACATCACTCAGGGCTGTGAAAAATGTCAGTGTAAACATGGCTAGGTCAACTGGAGAATTCTTCCATTGACCTCGCTAAACCACTTTTCCAAGAGGCAGTAGTACATCGACAGAAAAAAACCCTCCATTGATGTAGGAAGTGTCTATGCTACAGTTGGCACAGCCTGCAGTGCCGACATGGGACCCAAAGCACAGAGATTCAGGCCATCTGTAAAACAGGATACCAGCAATGCTCTGCCTCACACAGAGGTTGTGAGGAGAAATGCATTTAAGACTGAGATGCTCAGATACTATGGTGACAGTGGCAAGAAAGTTCTTTAGATAGGTTTAAGTGCACTCAAATATGCAATAAGTCTGGTATTCTATACATGCAACGAGGGAGATCAGCTATTCTGAAAGCCTGATAACTGCATTTCTGGTTTTAAAACTAACTTTAATTGTACACCTGGGCAGCTTCTATTTTGTTTACATTAACAAAAAGACTAACACACTAATAAATAAATAAATAAATAAATTATGGCGATATCCCATCTCCTAGAACTGGAAGGGACCTTGAAAGGTCATCAAGTCCAGCCCCCTGCCTTCACTAGCAGGACCAAGTACTGATTTTGCCCCAGATTCCTAAGTGGCCCCCTCAAGGATTGAACTCACAACCCTGGGTTTAGCAGGCCAATGCTCAAACCACTGAGCTATCCCCCCGTAATCAGGTACTTGCACATGCATAGACAGAACTA